TTTTTTTCTCGTGAATTTATTCCTTCTACTAAATGGCTAATTAAAAAGGAAAATAAGGGATTAATGAGGCGAATGAGTAAGGAAATCATGAATAATTGAAAATAGCAATTAATCGAAATCAAATTGCGAGATATTAACACTTAAAGTTAGAAGAAAGAAAAAAGTGATAATAATTGATAGTAAGATACTGATAAAAAAGATAGTGTTGCTAATAAACAGTTATTGCCCGTGTTTACTATTCATGAAATGCAAATTTGAGCGATCAAATTTTATTCATTTTTCACGTGAATAAAATTTGATGATTTAAAATTAAAAAAAGAAAAAAATGAATGAAATATAAGAGAATAAAATGTTATCAATGATAAATAGGATAGAGATAATTGATATCAGTTAAAATGGTTAACACTTAAACGTTTCAAAATTTGTTCTGTTGTAAAAGTTAAGTTAGCAAATAGAAAGTATAACATATATATGCCCCTGAACTGAAAGTTATGAAATATCAAAATGTTAATTTCATATTAATTTCTAATCTTTGATTTTTCCTTAAAATAATTTCATCATCTTAAGCTGTTAAGATATCCTAATTGAAAGTTATGAAATATGAAAAGTTAATTTCATACTAATCTTTGATTTTTCTCTAAAATAATTTCAGCATCCTAAGCTACTAAAATAATGATAATGAATATTTTCTAGGCGACAAATGCTATAATTTCATGTAAATTCAATGGTTGGAATACTTTTGAAGTATTTTAAATCAGATTAGTTTGAAATTTTAATTGAAAAATAGCAAATTCAAATCGTTTAGTTATTCTAGCAATGATTATTTGATTCATACAAATCAACGATATTTGATCTCTTCATTTATCTTTTAAATGAATTTTGATAAATAATCTAACTTGTTTTTTCGCTTTTTCTTTTTTTTTGGTTCGCTAATATTAATTACTTAGCAAATTCTTAAATAGCAACAACAAAGAAAACTAAATTCAGATAAATTACGCAATTTTGTAGTAATAAAATTTACATTAAAAATTTCAGATTAAACTTAATTTGAATTTAATTCTTTAATTTTAAAGAACAAAAAAAGGTTTATTATCTTTTCATTAGTTTTTTTTAAATTTCATAAATATTATCATACTAAATTTAGTTTATTCATGCCACATCAATTTACTTAATTGTACATTAATCTATTTTATGCCATGTTCATCCATTTAATGCTACCATAATCTGTTTAATATTATGCTAATTTATGCTTCATACTTCATATTAGTCTATTTCACATTACGTTAATTAACTTGATGCTATATCATTTTGTTTCACGCTATGCTAATTAGTTAAATGAATGTGCTAAATGATTTTAGTATATTTAATAGTATGTTAGCCTATTTTACACAAGAATTAATTTTTTTTTTTTTGTATTATCAATCTATTTGACACTAATGTTAGCTTACTATGTTAGCCTATTTAATGCTATGTTAATTAGCATCAAATTGCTACATCAAATAATTTTAAATATTACATCAATCTATTTCATACTATATTATCTATTTCTACTTTCTATTAACTATTTCTATACTATATTATTTTTTTCTCCATTTCTATTTCTATAATTTTAAGTATTACATCAATCTATTTCATACTATATTATCTATTTCTATATTAATCCATTTTAATACTATACCAGTTTGAAATACTTAATTTTATCATTTATTAAATTAAATACTAAATTAATCAAAGAACAAGGAAAAAAAACCACAGAAAAAAAAAGAAAAAAAAAGAAAAAGGAAAGGAAGGA